CAGAAACATCCCCACACAGCACTGCTGCAGGCAGACTCCTCAGCATGCCAGGACTCAGAAGAGAACCACTCACCAAGTTTGCACTTGACAGGCTTTCCTGAAGCTGTTGAATTTTCCCTGATTGCTTTTTTATTGTACTTTTGAACTTGGAATTTTCAGCTTCAAGCCTGAAATGTACATTTTAAAATAATTATTCTTATGGATCAATTTAAATATCACATAATTTCTGAAGAACAAGAGACACTACATAAAATTCTTAAATTCTTATAAATCTGAAAAACAGGGCTGGAGAGATGGCTCAGCAGTTAAGAACACTGGTTGTTCTTGCAGAAGACCCAGGTTTGAATCCCAGAACCCACATGGCAGCTAACAACTGTCCATAACTCCAGTCCCAGGGGATCCCACAGCCTCTTCTGACCTCTGCAGGCATTGCACAACAGGGGTGCACCTACCCACATGCAGGCAATACACTCATACACATAAAATAAAAATAATAAATAAAATTTTTAAAAAATCTGAGAAACATGATTTAGTAACTATGTTTCTGGCTGCTTTGTGGATAATGTACAGAAACTATGCATTTCTCTTTTTTTAGATTATTTTTGAACCTAGAGCTTCATGCACATGCTATACCCCTAGTTGTACCCCTGTTCTAAATTATGCAATTCAAGAACCTTAAAGCTGAGAATTACCCCCAACTTCAAACATTATTTATCACCATAACCGAAAGAACTGTCATCCTGTGTTGTGTATTGCGTTATAAATACTGGAGTTACAGTTTTAGATTTACTTTTATTTAGATTTAGGCTGTCTTGCATCCTCTCAGCACACTGGACAGCATCAGTGTGCTGACTCTGGGCTTCTTCCAAATGAAATAAAGAAATGAAAAGCTTTACTAATAAGTTACTATAAGTCTGCACATCTCATATGTGTTGAAATTTCTTTGGAACACTTCTTGATTTGCATATTGCTTAAGAGTACATCTTGACTGGTAAAGCATATTTAAGTGAGTTGTTGCAACAGGAATTTTGTCTCACAAAACCTAAAATATTATCTACCATTCTGTAGAAAAGTTTGCTGACTCTACTCTGTGATTGAAACATATTGTTCTTATTCTAAATTAGATTCTACCAGGTATGCAAAGAGAGAATACTGATACAATGCAGAAAAAGAGGGCATTTCTTGCAGTAAGCTCCTCTATTTTATAGTCCAACCACCACCTTGCCAACTATAATTTTAAAGCGTCACATGCATGTGTGCTATGGATCTACGTATCTACAAATTGCCATGGTTCGGTCAATTATGACAACCAGTTTTCTTATGAAATAGCTTCAGTGGCAATATATCTATGTAGAAGCCAGAATGCCTGGGTCTAAATCCCATCTCCATCAGTTGCTAAATGTGCAGAATTCTGAGCAAATTAACTTTGTGTATCTTGGTTCCTTCATCTGTGAAATGGAAATAATCTTATCCATCTCAATGTACTACTGAGAAGATTAAATTAATGAATATAAATAAAGTATTTGAGTATATGGCACAGTGATATACAATACCTATTATTATTATTATATTTTATAGTCTAACAAAATTTCAGGTGGGTGGTGGGTGTCCAACAGAACAGAAGAGGTTTTCAATTCAAATTGCATCGACTCATTCCTTTTACAACTGAATGTGCCAGCAAACAAGGAAACTGAGGCTGAGGATGGACAGCACCCTAAAACAGTGTTTGTTTGTTTCCAGGACTTCAGATGGAATCTAAGAAACCACACATGCCAGGTAAGTACTCTACCCTGAGCTATGTCCCCAACCCTTGTTAAAGTTGCATACTTTTAAGGCCTCAAACTTGTGATCCTCCCACACCTGGTTAACATTTGCATTTGTGAGAAAAGCATATGGCCTTTCTTTACAAGTTATCTTGAAATCCAGGAACTACATGTCAAGGATTTTGTATCCACTCATGAAAATGAGGGTGAGAAATAAGGCAATTTTCTAGATCATTCCACGAAACAGTATCCCCTGAATTAAGTTACACTGCCTTAATTGCAATAGAAATATCACTAAAAATACCATTTACCAGAAGTTTCATAACTCCTATGAGGAATAATTCTTAATTTTCCTAAGGATCAC